ACACACACACATACATACACATATACACACAAACATACATACACACACACCAGGCGATGCCGACCCTGATCGAGCTGATGAAGGACCCCAGCGTAGTGGTGAGGGACACCACGGCGTGGACCGTGGGACGGATCTGCGAGCTGCTGCCCGAAGCTGCCATTAACGATTTGTACCTCTCCCCCCTGCTGCGATGTCTGATCGAGGGTCTAGAGGCGGAGCCACGGGTGGCGTCCAATGTCTGCTGGGTGAGAAGTGGGCTCAAACCAGGGAGGGGGGGCGGTGCATTAAAAAAGTGTTGTCATTTTAATAAAGTGTTAGAGACATAACATAACCTCACAGGTCACGATCGAGGTAAAGGTTTGAAATTATCATGATATTGATTAGAAGTCACATGGTCCCCTCTCTTGGCCTGAAATATTTTGGACAATAAATAAACTCATCAGTCATGTAAAATGTTACATGACTGATCTCACATGTCAAACATGTTTGTTGTGTGTGACTGGCGTGTTTTCCCGCCGCAGGCCTTCTCTTCTCTGGCTGAAGCCGCCTACGAAGCCACAGACGCTGCTGAGGACCAGGAGGAGCCCAGCACCTACTGTCTGTCCACGTCCTTCGAGCTCATCGTCCAGAAACTCTTGGAGACCACAGACAGGTGTGTTCATGGGAAACGTAGCGCTGCAGTTGGTTGCTATGGTGACAGTGTGTTTACACCCTTGTGCTTCCTGTTCAGGCCTGACGGTCACCAGAACAACCTCCGCTCCGCAGCCTACGAGGCTCTAATGGAGATCGTGAAGAACAGCGCTAAGGACTGTTACCCTGCGGTGCAGAAGACCACCCTGGTCATCATGGAGAGGCTGCAGCAGGTCCTGCAGATGGAGGTGAGACGGGGGAGGGGTTTGTGACTGAAGCCTCGATGTCATGACGACACATTTGTACGAGACGAAGCAGAGCGTATAAAATCAATGAAACAAGAGGACGATAGTAACAGATCAATGTTTGTCAGTCTCACATCCAGAGCACCTCCGACAGAATCCAGTTCAACGACCTGCAGTCGCTGCTGTGTGCCACTCTACAGGTGAGAGCCCAGTTATACACGCCATCATTATACACCATCACTAACTGTATATACACCATCA